ATGACTTAATATTAAAATTAGATTCCTTCTAACAGTTATTCATTTTTTAGTAAAAGTCACTCTTGTCTAGGACCAATCATACTCAACCACCTAAACACAGAGAAATATCGACCTTGATATATCCATACTGCGACCAATCAAAACTAAACCAATCTCTCATTGGTTGTTTATACTACACATAGCGCGATTTTATTGGTTGATTGATTTGAGGATGAATAATTTAAATGACTGATCAGTTGTAGGTCATTTAGTGTAATGAGAAAGTAAATGAAAAAAGTGTATTTTTGTCAGTGGCACTTTTTTGATGCCATCCTTTAATGCAGAGCAATGTAAATTTTTTATTTCTTCATAAATTATGTTCAAGTGAAAAATTTATGGACTAATATCTTTTTAAAATCTCATTAAATGTTAATGGTAGACTGACTAGTAATAGAAAGTGGAACTATAAATTATTTAATAACATACAATAACTGTAGAAGATTAATTTAATATGTTCATATGTAAAGGTATCTTTCCTTTGAAAAGAAAAAAATAACATAAAGAATTAAGATATATTACTCCAAGATGTGCAATATTCCAACTGTTCTCCTTAAAAAATGTTTACTCCCAAAACCTGTTCGTCAAATACTGATTTCAAGCCAATTAAATCACTTCTAGTTTTAAAAATAAATCTCTTTTATTGGATTAAAGATAAATCATTCTACTAAATATATACAAAGGATAAGCCTTATGAATAATTTGTAATTAACATTTAAAAAAGAATCAATCTTATAGCTGATAGAGTTTTCAAAGACATTCCAGATGCCACACTTGGACCAAATTATGATACGAGTGAAGATTCAAATGTTCATATAAGTACTTCTATGAATCTAACCGACTCAATCAAACCAGCCGTTAATTTTTGTTATATATGTATATATATCCGTCTATATGTATTTGTCAAACATTAGGAAATAATTCATTAGATATTGGGATATTTCAGTCAATACATGTAAACGATGTTACTATTAAAAAATGAGCTACCAGTGATACATATAGATAATGCTGACTTTTTTGAAAAACAACTCCTTTCATTGTTGTCTCAGAAATACTAACTGATTGCTGCCTTACATTAGTTACTAATTATATCTATTTTTCCTGATCAGAGAATACTAAACTTCAAGAATTTGAGACAGATACTACCGATGATCTAATTTAAAATAATTTGATATTATTTAGAGATGAAGTATGCATGCTTAATTGATTGAAATTCCTCTTAATTTACTTCTTTCACCATCGAAACGAATAACTAAACTCTTAATCGCCAACTGCTTTTAGACGATATATCGCAATTCGTCTGCGAAACAAATCATTTTAATTATCTTAATAATCTACATCCAGTGAATTAAACTAAAGGACAACGATTTTAGAATGTTTTGACTAACGTATTATGAGCATACCTAATTAAATAGTTAGCTTGTAAGGTAATTTTCATCATGAATGGTAATCGACTGTAAAACTAGGAAACAAAGATAAGACCAATTTTCATGCATACCTTGTTCTAACGTCATGTCATATTATAATGAAGTTGCAGTTACAAGTGCTATATCTGATGGCATATACACGTAGAGTGAATTAGTTAACTTAAATACACCGTACTTTGATAATTATAAATGATTTTCTTCGAAGATGAACGTTCATATACTGTAGCAGTAATTTTCAATGCTTGGAGTCTACTAGACTGAGTGATATACAACCGCCTACTGATAAAAAACCGACACAAATCACTATATGTGAAGCATTAGACGAGTTTGAATAATGTAAACTAATGGATCTTGACTTAGTGATTGGATAGTATTAGGCTAGCCGTAAAAAAATGAACAAGTATATTTTCACCTAACATGAAGTTATGTGGTGTTTGCTACTGATGTCGACAGATACAAGTAGTACGTATATCAGATGGTGGAAGGCTAATAAGTTCAGAGAAAAGAGAATGATTGGTGTGGAAACGAAGGGACAACAATGTCTAAGACGATTGACTGATTTTTTCCAACTGAAGTATTTACTGTATGGTACTCAGATTTTAATACGAAATTCTGTAATTTTGTGTTTAAATACATTCGATTGTCTCCACTTGTGTTGTCGTTCATCACAGTTAGCGGTATATTCTGAGTAGTAAACTAAAACAAAGATAGCTATTATGTTTACCAAGTTTTTTCAATATTGCTTCAGTCACAACCCAAGGGCTGTATTTGGTTTTACTTTAAATATAAATCACCAAGTTCTGAATAAAACATATTAATATGTGAGAACTAATTATATTAACAGGCTACCCAAACTGAAGTAGATGGAACAGGGTCCGAATGTATAACCTTTTGAACCAAAGCCTAATAATAATGATTAAATCTAATCTTTAAAATCAATAACAAAATAATCATTTTGTCCGTTGCATTTACACGATTAAAATTATCTAATCCGAATTCATAGAGTAGCAAAAAATGTATGCTATAAAACTGTCGCTTGGCCAATGTAATAAATATACATTAAGCTATACTTCCACACACTAGATGATTCTTATGGACAGAAACATTTCTTATGCATTAAAAGTTTATTCGTACTTCATCTAAAGGCTTACTTATAGCTACTTTTTATGAAATTTGCATGTGGAAATATATTATTACATGTAACAGTAAGTAAAACAATCAAGGTTGGTGTCTACTTTGTATTCAACCAATGACAAATTAAAGTCATCGTTCAATAAAACTAATCAAGTTCATATGGAGATCTCTTCAAGACTCCTATGAACTAATCGTCGACTACTGACGTTTTATTTCGATAATATACCAAGCTTTCAACAATTGCCTCATAAATTGGATCTCCAGTTATCAGTCTCATATTCTCTAATAATCCTGAATAAACAAGACTTAATCCCTCATTACGACTCCTCATGATCTCATCGTTTTCCTTCTGAGTAGCTCACTAAACAGTATCCTCTTACCTTGCCCCTAGTCGATCAGTCAGTAACAACGCAGAACTTCGTACGTACGTACATCAGTTCGAGTTACTATACAACATTAGCACACAGATACAATTGTCGATTCAAATCCCGTAGAGGTAGAAATACATTTGCGAAGCGGAAAAAGGACATGAAGAATTCAGATTAGAATTTGAGAGAACACAAAGAGTGGATGCACCTGCGCCAATGCTAACGATTTTGAGCCATTTCATTCAACGTCTCTAACCATCGGTTGCTATTGTCTCGTGGAACCCAACCAGGTAGTCTACACCTACCAACATGGCTCAGTGACTTCATGGACTTGTGCCATGTTTTGATCTGGCCACCCCTAGCTTCCTTCCAACCTACTTCTACACCATAAAACAAAGGACGTCGTGGCAGTCGGTGGTTGGACATACGTAACACGTGTTCCAGCCATCTCAACTGATGAAGTCTTACTACTTCAACAATTGATTCGCCATCCTTACCTAGTACGTTTCCTAACAACTGCATTACTTAATCGGTGGTCTCAGGATATACAAGCAATGCTTCGGAGACAGTCTGGCTAACTTTCCCGTTGAATTCTTGACCTAATTCGAATATATCTTTACACTATTAGTACTAAGTTTTAACGCTTTCTGAAAATGTGGAAAATATTGGCTAACCGTTATCATTTATTCGTGTGTATTATTGGTTCCTTGTCCCATTAGTTTTAAAAACCTACACAGTGATCATTATGTGACTGCATCTTTATACCAATCAAGCATGAACAAAATTTGGGAGGTTTTAGGATAAAATACCCTGATTTTCTGAATACATGGAATTTAAGATAAATTACAAACGTCATCTCTGCGCTTATAGTCATTCTCATTGATTTTATATTTTTTCTGCATGAATTTAGTAGTATAATCCTATTAGTTGTACAGTCGTACAAATTGTACTTCACATACCAAGTCATATATTGCATTGGAGCACGCTGTTTAGTGATGATTATGTTGGAATATAGTTGAAAGTAAGTAAATCTAGATACGACGATTATGGTTACAGGTGTAAGTAGTATAAGCAAATGTAAACTCCTCGCTTGAAGTTTCCTGGATCACTTGAGGGAAGCTGTCGATGATAACTGACTGGCTTCAAAATCGATCATAAAAATACGTACACTTTATTTCCATAGTTCTGTTGTTTATCATTACCCAGACATTTTTGAAAAATAATTTGATTTATTCTTCAAGAGATATTCAAAAGTGGAATGTGTATCCTTGGGATTAGATAAGCGGTTCTAGATTAATGTCTTTGTGTCAGATTATTTAAATCTTTAATTACGATAGCAGTCTAAAGTGCCTGGAATTTATAAATGTAACTATTGTTACTGCTTAAAACCTTAGTTACTCAAAGTAGTAAAACAGACTCGCTCAGGATTTCAACATTATTAATGCAAAAGGGAATAACCTATGAGATGAAACAGATTACATATGTGAATGAACATGAATGTTTACAAGTTTAGTTCAATCGTGTCAGTTAAATCTACTTAATGATCAAACAGTTAACTCACCACTGAACTGAAATCAGTAAGTGATTACCATAATCGACTAACCGAACTTATACTCAGATATTTATGTTCATTAGTGTCTGTAATTAAATTACCTCACATCCATAAATTAGGCTATAAAAATCTAACTGTTCACATTGGAATTATAATAATATTAAAGAGACAAGTATAGAACATGTGAATGTGGTAGCGATTAGTTTCTAGCTTCTACAAAACAGAAATAGAACCCTATACGTAAAATGAAACAGTCTGCACACTAGAATACTACCAACACAAATAGATCTAAAAACTGCTACATAGCATTAAATAAAGTATAAATGGATTCGAACAACTAAATTAAGCTGCTTTTTTACAACCGAAATAGATTTAGCAATATATAATACAAAAGAAGGTAAAAACACGCACATACAAACAAACAAGCAGTCACCAATATAGATCATTTAACATTACCCATTAGAAATTAAAAAGATTGTACGTCATTACACCATCACAATTGTTTGATATATTTATTTGCAATATTGATTAAAATAACAATAATAATCATAGTATTAAACACAAAAATCTTGACTGTCACAAAATAAGCATTATTTGAGTAATTGAGAGAGGGAAAAACAAAACATATACATTGATAAAGGAGTGACGAATATGAAAGAGAGATTAATTAGCTCACTAAGTCAATTAACTTCTAAATCAAGTCAGTTGGTGGATTGAAATAGACACAAAAATAACTGAGTCTGATTTTATTAACTACTTTATTTTATTATTAATGATACGAAAGATGTAAAACTATTTCTATCTATGTGTGTGAATATATGAATGACATGTAGGGGAATTCAAAAGAAAGATACGGAAAAGAATAAAAGCAAATGAATTTGTGTGGAACATATAAGAGACTACACATATATAAATCTACGCTTCTGTGTATATTTCGCTATATAAATATGCACAAAATTTCTGTTCGTAATGATTGGTAATTTAAGAGCAGAGAAGTATTATCAATTACAACATCAACAGATGTACTAGTAACAAACTAAATTATACAAATCTGACAAGATTTAGAAACAAGCACATTAAGAAATCTTTTCAGAGAATGAAGAGACGAAACAGATTATTGATGAATAAACAACTGAGCAATAACAACTCCAGACATCTTTATGCAAACATAAATCAGTATATTTCAATTTCTTCAAAACTTTTTCTTAATGCTACATATATAAAGGAATGGGAGAAAAGCAGAAAATTCTCCCATGGATGGAAGAAAACAATACGTACACAAATATACATACTGTGTGCATGGAGAAAGGAGTAAATGAGTAGGGGAAAATAGTCCGTTTTTCCAAGTCAAATCAAAGACTAGTGTCATAAACAAAATTGAAAGACAAATTTGGAAGGAGAATAAATTGACAGCAAACAAGTGTGGATATGAATAATTGTTTTTCTGCCAGTGTGTATATATAGTGTGATACACAACACGCGTTATCTAATGATGCAAAGTGAAGTGCTTTATAATCGTTGTATACTTTTCATCTTTAACTAAGCCTGAGCAATGCCATCTGACGCAGCAGAGGAGGTTGGCCTAGTACCACCAGCACTATGACATCTAGACAGAGGCGGATTATTTGTAAGGATTGAATCTAAACGATGATTAACAGCTGCTGTTGTTGTAGCATTATTGGTAGTAGTCTCTGAATTAAAAGAATCATTGAAGTGATGGGAGACACCGCTTGACGACATTCTTAATACAGCACAATTAGGGAAAGATGAAACAGGCATACAACCACTATCAGAACCAGTGGAAAGCATAACTGAATTGTTCATATAACTAAGAAAATCTGGATTAGTGAAGTTTTTTACTAGTCCACCACCATTATTATCCTCTTTCATTATTGTATGTCGCGCAACACATGGAGTGTATTCTTCAACCAATTGTTGTTTAGACGATTTCGCTGTAGGACGAGATAGTTGAAAGAAACAATGACGGCATACACGAACCGGTTCACTTGGTTGACTTGTTGTAACAATACGACGATCAGAACAATTTGTACAGAATATATAACCACAATTTCTAGCAAATAAGGAAATAGAACAGCAAATGTAAGCAGTTTAAAATATACACTACAGTTAAATAGATAACCAGATCACGACAAATTAATCTATCCTACAACAGACCAACTAACATTCCTATCTTATAAAATCTTTTTGTTTCTTTATCTTCATAAAACTGAAGACAATTTAAGGTTTCTATTGATCCATGAATTATCTTTGAAGACGGCTGTCTTCAGTTGTTTCAAAATTAATCCATATGTCTTAAAATATGAATGGAACCTTTTTTTCTTCAAACGGAAACACAAATTCTAATAATTTATGAACACGATGCAAAGTGTAAAACCGTTTGAATGTAGACTTATAGAAAGAAAACAAAACGTACACTTAAATTTGCTTGTCTCCCAGTTATTCAGCGAAATAAATATATTTATAATTCCATTGGTGAATAATTAAGTTCTGTTGAACACACAAACATGAGTTTTATTTTTATTTTTCTGTGTAATCACTGAATAGCATAGTAAAAGTAACAACTGTTTCATTGTGTGTGGCTACACAAGTCTCTCACTTTAGAGAATCGGAGCCAGAAGGTATTCTCTTCAACATGCTTCGCTTTAAACTATGTCAATGATATTGACATAGTTTTAAGTAAACTGAGTATGTCAAAACCTAAAACTTGTTACATAGTAAGTAAGTGGAAGTTATCAACAGAATATAATTCTCTTACCAGTTTACCCTGCATAAAAAAACAACCAGTGTGATACGTAAGATAATAATCAACGCCCATTATCTTATTTGTCTATTTATACTACGATTTAATGTTTTACAAGGTAACACCATAATAAAAATGTTAAGCAATTAATTTTGCACAGGAGTTAAGCAACGAGAATACAAAACTTACCGACAATGGTGTTTAGGTCGTAAAGCCGAAAATTCGATACGACATGATGTACATTGGTGAGCAATACAATCGGGCTGCAGTAAAACAGACTGACCATCTTCCGTATCTATTAATTCAAATGAAGTTGTCTTACATGGTACTGATTCAATTGGATCAGTTAACTCAGACTTAATGTTAGATGGATTGTGATGTTCTTCTGAAATCTAATAAACATTTAATCAATAGGTTAGCACCAAGCATGAATAAAAAACCACCAGATATAATAACAAGATTAAGAATACATTGGAAAACATTATTAGTGCAGCAGCTAATCAGACAGATTCAATTACTAGTATCTGCGATCCAACTCTACGTCCATTGGATTTACAAGTGGACATTTATTCCTTGATACGGGATAACAACATTTGTAAGAATGCAAACGGTTAAACCAATAATCGCAACTGATATGAAGAGTATAGGGATAACCTCATTGGTTGTTTTCAGACTGTTTTGATGATTGTTTTGTTATTTCTTATTTCAAAAGTAACAAACATTCATAATATCTTGGCTGAATATTTTGTACACAATTAGCAGTTCATTATATGTAACAGAATTAGGTCAGTTAATTTCAACCAATTTTCTGAAATGTATTATTTTGGAATTAGGCGAATAGTCTCATTGAAAACTATCAATTCTCTCTCTCTTCACAGTTATTTCAATATTTTATCACACTAGTTATTTTGCCAAGTAACTAATCATATTCGTTACGATTGTGCTCTAGTAAACTGAAACTTTGTCTAAAACGCTTTTCACTATAGGCAACATGGTGTGTAGTTACCATAGGTAGTAAAAAATTACAGTATTCAGTAAAAGTATTGACTAATTATGACTTAAATAGTCAATTGTAAATATACAGGGAGAACTAGTGAATAAGAATGAGAAATTCTATTTACTGAACCCGGAGGAACTATAACTGTAATAAAGTCATGTGGAAGAATGTCTTAAACAAAGTGTACCAAAAATATGATCCAAGTTTATAAATTCACTGTATGGTAACAGCTCAAATCAACGTTTAACATGCTCCGTTTTGGATTTACATACCAGACATAATTTTTAATATTCAAAGGATTTCGTGTAGTAATACTAAAATTTTAATCAACGGTAAATCAAAAATTCTTGAGATAAAACTCCATAATAAAGATGTGCTTCTGAATTAGATACATGGTTACATGATATTGAAACGTGAGAAAAATGTAATACATACATGTAATTCATAAAATCAGTTAAAATAATAAACTCACATTTTTATCTTTAGAAATGGAAACAAACAGTTCACTACTCAATAAGCTGGACTCTTTAGATTTACACTGACTATTAATATGACTATTTTGTGTAAACTTCTGTTCATACGATGACAATGACGATGAAAGCGATGATAAATGATCATCTGATGAGGCAAGTACATTTGTGTCTTGTTTACATGTTTCAGTTTTAGTTAACTCGAGAAGCTGTTTCAGTCTTCTCGCCTCTGAATTCAACCGTTCAACTTCCAGTTGTGCATATTTTAATTTGGCTTCTAATGCAAGCATAGATTGCTTTTGTGTTTTACGATTATAACGCTCTTGACATAATTGTGAGTGAGCATGTATTGTTAGGCGATCTACCAGCATAGGTAAACCATCCCAATCTGGAAACCATGACAATGTGTTCATCTAAATAAGAGAAAACAAACAATGAACATACGCGTATCTTTTAATATGTTGATTTGTCCTATATACTACAAAGTTAGTGACAGACTACATATACCAACGAGTTGTATTAGATCAATATCGTTTGCTGAGACAGTGAAAAGCTTTTTTGTGAAATCCAATTTTGATAAATCTTGAAAATAATATCTAATCTAACAGCTAAAAAATCATATTCAGTATACTCGGTAAGACAAATGTGCTTTAATAATTCCCAGTTAGTATAACGTTTAGAGAAACGGTAACTTGCACATGCGACCTTGTATGGATTGCTGTATTTTATTCTAAATATCAGATACATATTTACCACAAAGAACTCGGTACATGTTATTGATTTAAATTGTCATGTTTAATATTGCTAAAATGAATAAGAAATAAACAATATACACACAAAGAAATCAAAGATAAAGAAGGCATGGAAGCAGAAAGATTAACAAGAAAAACAAGTTTTGACAAGGAATAAAAAGAACTCAATATGTTCAATATTTAGAATCTAATTTATTTGTACTAGTGCAACCAATATTAAGCCTTCGACAATTAACGTCGTTTTCTTTTACAGTCAATCTGATCAGACACATCAATTTCTTATATAATACAGGACGTCAGTCAGCTACAACGTAGGACCAAGCACATATATGCATCGGTCCAAGTTGCCATACCTCATTAACACAACAAGATGGACACCGGATTAATAAAAGTAGTTAATTCAGAAGTGGTAATATATAAAAGAAAGATTGCAATAAGCATATAGTACATGAAGAAAGAATGAGTTGATAGAAAGAAAGATATGAAGCGATTTTAATCTCTTAGTTTAAGGGAAGACAGAGAGTGTATATACCGATGCCATTGTGATCGATTCCGAGCCAAGTCACCAAGAGTCTCCAACCATTGGGTACGATAGTCACAATACAGGACGATAATTAATGATTTATTAACTGATGTCGTTTCATGGTCTAATCTCCGTAAAGCCCTTCTTACTTACTTACTTATGCCTGTTACTCCCAATGGAGCATGAGCCGCTGACCAGCATTCTCCAACCCACTATATCCTGGAGCTTCTTTTCTAGTTCTTGTTCATTCTTCTCATGTCTATCTCCATTTCCCGGCGTAATATGTTCCTTGGTCGTCCTCATCTCTTTTAACCTTGGGGATTCTAAATGAGGGCTTACCATGTGATGCAGTTTGGTGCTTTCCTCAATGTATGTCCTATCTACTTCCGGCACTTCTTTCTGCTTTCTTCCTCCACTGGGATCTGGTTTGTTCTCTCCCACAGTAGGTTGATGCTAATAATGTCCGGTCAACGGATTTGAAGTATTTTACGTAGACAACTGTTAATAAACACCTCTATCTTCTGGATGATGGCATTCGTAGCTCTCCAGGTTTTCACCCCATACAGTAGAACTGTCTTGACATTTGTATTGAAAATCCTGACCTTGGTGTTGTTTGACAGATGTTTTGAGTTTCAGATGTTCTTCAGTTGTAAATATGCCGCTCTTGCTTTACCGATCAGCGCATTCAAATCTGTATCAGATCCACCGTATTCACCAATGATGCTGCGCAGATATGTAAAGCTTTTCACATCTTCCAAAGCTTCTCCGTGAAGTGTGATTCTATTGATGCATGTTGTGTTGTATCGGAGAATCTTGCATTTCCCTTTGTGTATATTGAGATCCACTGTTGCTGAGGCTGCTGCTACACTGGTCGTCTTCTCCTGCATTTGTTGTTGCGTTTGCGATAGGAGGGCCAGATCATCCAAATGAATCCTAGATGTCCACTGTATCCCGTGTTTCCCTTCAGATGTTTACGTTTTTATGATCCAGTCGATCACCAGGAGAAAGAGAAAGGGTGAGAGTAAGCGACCTTTCCTGACACTGGTCTTTACTTCGAACGAGTCTGTCAACTGTCCTTCTACATATGTAATATCTACTCTATCCGGGATTTCCAATTTACGTAATAAGTACGTACGCATTTGTAAAATGTGTAAATATGCTGTACAATAACTGATTATCGATTTAACAGAAACACATGGTTTATGAGTACATAACATGTGATATAATTCTGTGTAACTACTACTGATGAAAACAAAGTGTTAATAATACACTTTGAAAAGCTTTCCAAACAAATAGTTTGAAAAGCAATCAAAGCAGTTTAGTGCGTTTTTTTAAAAAAAAAAACAATGTCTTAAATTAAGACATTTAATCAAAGTTCAGTATCATCTGAAAAACAAATACAAATTAGGGACAGTCAATCTAATCTCTAACTTATTATTAGAACAAAAAAGGATATTAAAATAAGCCTTAAGTATATATTTGATGTACAGTTGTTAACTTCCGAAACAACCGATAGCCTTATGTAAACATAGTGAGAAACAGATTGTAAGTTAAATAAATGCAACTTTATAGTCATACACTGAATCAAATAACTGATTATAATTTAGTCGCATTTATTTGTTACGTGTGACTGTGAGCAAGAAGTGCTGGCTGGTAAATTTTAACAAGAAATAATTACAGAAAATCGGTACTTTCAGTGCTTAGTTATGACGGCCTATTTTATTGTTTAGAGACTATACAGACAAAGAAGTTGAAATGATTACAGAATTAAAATCCTTATTGGTTTACCTTTATACAAAAACATACGGAAACTAAAAGGTGATTGTACATAAGTCTTTAAGTTATTGACACAACAAATATTTTTCACTAACATATCCATTATTCTTATTAGTATCTTTGGTATTATCCGGCTAATGAACGTGATTTTCTGAGTCATAATTATCAACACAGTGTTACATTCACCTGGATCAGATCACTGTAATAAAGAGAATATATATATTGAATTACTTTTTTAACGTAATTGATAATTATTTTTAACTGGAATATAGAAATATGATAAATAACTACTGTTAGTTATGTTTATAGTACATTAGATTACTTGACAATGTACTACGTAAGCATAATGTAATTTCTATGGATCAACAAATTTTTAACTTGGACTCAGTATAGCAATGACTAGTTAGGATTGTTAAAAAATCAGATTACTGACTGAGGCGAAACACTATACGTACAGTATAATTCAATTATTACAATTTAAAAGATGAGATTATTAGGGAATATATCAGATGTATTAATAAGTGTGTAGCGGTTAGTTCACAATAAACATGAGTCATGTAAATATCAAATTGTAAACACAAAAGAAACTATGCGTAAATGATTATCGATAAGTTCTAAACATTACAGGCAAATGACAAATTTTGAAAATCAGAGTAAAACTGTTGACAAACAATTAGCTAATGAAACTAGTGATCTTGAAACAATTGAGAAAACTTTTGATTACCGCCACTGAGATTCCAAATCAATAATCAAAATAATTGATCTGCAACAATCTAGATGTAAATTCAAATTTCATTCGACCAAGTAATAATGTCACTATAATCTAGAATAATCAGGTGAGTGTGAATAATGAGTTTATTTATTTATTATTAATAAGCTTCATTCAGTTAAGGATCAATAGTGTTGGACAGATGTAGAATATTCCTCCAAAAAAACCATATAGGCCCTGAAAACACTAGGAAACATTTTGTCCAATCAGCACTGAATAAACGGTTTTCAGAAACATCTAGAGAGTGAAGAGTAAGGTTGGTGGAAGACCAATTTATTTGAGATTTTCAGTGATTAGCTCAAGACAACAACAATCGATGGAATAATTTCTACTACTTAATCTAAGTAATCAAACATTAAAATGAATTTAAAGTTTTTTTAGTAAATAGATTATTTATCTCGTAAAGAATTGTGAAAAGAATATAGTATATACTCAATAAGTATCCATCGAACAATGACGTTGACACAAGTGTCTTTTAACTGTTCTGAGTGGAACTACGAATCGGTTTAGTAGTTGTTATTTTTTAAGACAGAGACGATGCTTCAGAACTAGCATGTAATTAAGACTAATATCACAATAAATAAAAGTATTATACCTTAATGATTACTACGCTGATATGGCTAAATATATTAACCTAGTGCTTTGGATAATTGGACGAATTCATCGTAACAATATGGACAATTTTATTTGTATTTATCAGGTTCTAATAAATGAAAAACTTCAATATTCGCAGTTGGTAAGACGAGACACGCTATAACTTTGTTCTCAATATGAAATAATGTAATGTGAAAATAAATTTAATTATGATTAGTATTTATTGAATACTTATTTATCATAGAGGAATTAAACAATTAGCTTTGAAATAGGTGCAAGTACATAGGAAATTGAGATATATTAGTGATATGATCAATACACTTGTTGAGAAGTGTGATACTACGTCAGCCACTATTTATCTTAACTTCTAATCTTGACTATAGAGAGAAAAGCCAGAACAAAAGTTGAGGTCTATTCATGAAAACAGTGACTATTCATCTCAAAGACACGTTTAAATACAAATTTTCACGGACAGGGCAGATAAGTTATTCTAAACTAGATGACACGATCAAAAACGGATATCAATGATAATGTGATGTTTTATGCTTCATAATTTAGTTGAACTGCCTTCAAAAATGGTTTACCTTAAGATAAGCGATGTATACAATGTGGACTGTGTTTCCACATGAATACGACAGTAGTAATAAGCTCTCATAAGGTTATTTGCAACACATGTTTCCAGAAAACATTAGATATAAACGCGAGATTTTTAAGAGTATGTTAGTCATTTTACAAACAGAATATTGTATCAAATGTGTTGCATTATTACATGTAAATGGTAAGGACCAACGGATCGACAATATTCAGTTTCCAATGAGGAATTTCAATAGTATCCATGACTGTACAGTATGACTTTTAAACTTAAAACAGATATATTTGGCCAATAAAGAATGTAAGTTGTAAATACTGGGCAAGGAAAAAGAAGTCAGTCGGTGTTGAAATCTTAACAAGTTTTTCCGAAAATTAGTATAATCCTACTATAACATGCTTATTTAAACAATTACTGGCGTTCAAAGGCAAACTTGATGTTATTCATTAATAACCAAAATAGATATAAATATCATTGACTTTGTAATAAATTCAGCAAATTACTATGCTTCTCGAAAACTATCATATGAATACGTTTGAAAACTAGTGCAGACAAATGGAAAAACTGAATGAATTAAAAGAGTATAAGTGGTCAAGTTAGTGTAATAAAAACAATAAAATATGATACATTTATGAGAAAACTATGTTATACTTGATAGTTCAGAAAGGATAGAATAAAAGAATGGATTCCTAACGTAACAATTAAAAACTTGACACATCGTCTTTCGTCAGGATCGAACTACTAACTTTCCCCATAACGCAGTCATACAAGGTAAAATACAAAACCTTAGGTAAATACGAAAGAAAACGATATAGCCTCGATATCAAACAGACATCATAAAAGAGGAGGCTTATTAGCGGGTCCCTAGATTATTCAGATATTTAAAAATAACACAATATAGTTACTATTTAGGTATAGGTTCGTGAGATGGACTATAAGGTTTCATACATCTAGCCCTTACAGTAAGATTCCTGCGACAAGGAACAAATAGCACCTTACTCCCTTACTAAACCCAGATAATCTAAAAAACAAAAGCTTGCTCAGGATACTTATTAGAGATTGAATGAGACTGATTTAGGCACCAAGCAAATAAGTATAAATACATTTACGATTTTCTGGGAAGTTCAAAATCGGAATATTAAAAAAGCTACGAACAAAAATAAGAAGAATCTTTCATCATGGTAGAAATAAAGGGAAGGATTAGCAGACAATTATGTTCGACCAAGCAGAAATACAAGTTTACAAAACAGAACTAACAAAATGGTCATCAATGGAAGCCTTGGGGAGATTCACAGATTGTCGAAAAATTCACATTAGGCTTCGTGAACGAATGGTGTAAATTAACCAGCATATTCCGATAGGTGGAACGTTACTGAATAAATGAATGAAAAGGGCATCTTTAATAATTCACTTTATTAGTTTACTAGATCTTAAGAATATTCAATAGCTCTAGTCTTATACATATTTAAGTATTAGTGCTTTGAAAAAATCATCTTGTTTATGATAGAAAGAGAACATGATTAACTGTTTCACAAGTTGAAAAACTTACTAATGTAGAAGATAATGGTTTCTTTTGAATTTCCTCTAAAGCATTTGTACCATTTGATATGTTTTGATCGATGGAAGGATTATGCACTTCTCTATTTAAAGGGGTAGAATTTTTATGTAGTGTAGAAGGAAAATAGGATACAGCTGAAGTTGGACTGATTGGGGCTGATGTTGGTCGATTGTAAACATCATCATTAGTCGTAATGCGAGTAAATTCAGGCAAAGAAATTTTAGGATTAACCGTTACAGAATGACTTTTTGAGTCGAATGATCCACCTGGCTTCAGGGCTTTACTATTATAATTGCTAGAACAGTCAAACATTTGACTGGAAGACGAATTTCTGCTGCCACAAGAAACTGACGAGGATGACTGAGAAAGCATATTTGGAAAATATTCAAGTCGGAAGTATTTGTTTCGCCAAGCAAGCTTTAGTGAGAATCAAAGATTAAAAGAATGTCAATGAAGGATTCACACATAAAAATACATAAATCTCTGGACTTATAACGAAAAAGCAACAGAATTATTTGTCTTGGTAGTAATGCAACTTAAGGTTCAGAGCATAAACGAACATAAGTTTAAGGTACTCTGCCTACAGCAATGGTCATCCAGTTAATCAAAGTTAGTATAAATGGAGACGGTGGGCGACCCGACTCACGATCGGTCACAATGACGTAGATGCATCGATAGTTTGTGTTTCCTAGGATCTTAAATTTCAAAATTACCTTATACCTGCGAATTAACTTTTTACCCTGGAATCTAATTCTCTGAACTTTTGTACTATCACCAGCACTACTACTACTTTAATATTTATTTTGACAATTTTATCACCCTGTACTAATGTACTGTGGCAGTTTGAATCGATGCCGATACATCCCGGGCTTTATGTTGCTTATGATTGGCTAGGAGGACATTGTAGAAATTGACATGAATATTTACCGATCAATGTCGACATACCTAGCACGCGCAAAACCAGGCACGAAATTAAAAGCGTGGAAAGCAGAGGGGGAGAAACAATGCAATGCAAAGCTGAATATGAAAAATAGAGTTCAAAAGTAACAACTGAAACAGAAGAATAAAAGGCATTAAACGACACTAAACTCAAGATTTAGTAGAAGATAGAGAATAATGTAACCGCGTCAAAACAAACAATTTCGCGCATCTCAAACAGTAGACAGCGATCGACACCAAATGATTTCATAGATTAGTTTAATGTCTTGACTTGTCTTCACATCACTTTCTTCTGACCTATTTTTACATTGGTTATCATATTGCGTAGAAGCGGGTGGTGCTGGACGACCATAATAGATTTAGATAGGTGATTATTGATAGAACAATTATCAGTAAGAAATTTGTCTTGAAGATAGACGTTAAGCAACATACTTTCGAGAGAATAGCCGATATGGTGGTAAGACACCCATAACAATACATAAAATGTTTCGAACAAAGTGACACGACTTACCTCCCTACCCCGATTATCAAAAAAGGCAGAAGAAAAAACAACTGATTACTTTGTAACCTTCATTTTCATTCCTGATCATCCATGTATTATTCGATAAAAAGCTGAATCACACTATCTTAATCGAGTACGTTATATATAATTAGTTGATCAATGGTTCGACTTCATTTTAGAAACTTAGCTATGATCTACGGGAGAGTAAATAATCACTTATGATACTCCAGTTATTTGTTTTATAAAATCGCATTAACATTAATGAAGAACATTTTCCTAAAATTTACCAATAAAAAAAAATAAGTATATAGCAAAACGAGATTGTATTTTACGTACCAAATCCTCAGGAATAAGTAATTCAGACAGTTTTGTTACAAATGCCTCATCTAGATTTTCCTCAATAACTTTTGATATAGTACCAGTAATATCTTGAAATTTTTCGGAACCGTTATGACCAAAAACAGAGATTTCAGTCTTATTCGTCGATAACAATTGACCAGATAATGATTCTCCAAGAGGTGTCGAAAAATTCAAATCATTACATTCATTGGGAGAATCATCTGAATCGGATGTGAGAGATACCGCCCCATTAACAAGCACTTCGTCATTTTCCGGTAGACTCTGTTAATGTGAAAATATTTGGAAGGAAGTTAGTATTAAAATAGATGTAAATGTAAAACTACAGTTATACCCTCAATGGTACATTAATTTATACAAAATTAGAGTTTTCACTAACTAATGCATTTCGTTCACCTAGTGAAAATCGAAACTTTGTTGATCATACAGTACATTTATAATTACGATCTACAATGCTAGAAGATTAATTGAAAATTTTAGAAAGTTTGACACAGGCTTTTTATTCTACAAAAACACGTTGAAAAAGGTTTAATAAATCAGATCCGCACAAAATTGATACAAAACAACATATTTTCTAAGAAACCCATTGAAAGAACAATTTACAAAATCTATTACTCATACAGTGCGTTACGTCTGGATATTAAACACCTATTATACCTAATGTTTAGCTTAAATCTAGACTTTCAGAACTTCTAAGCCGTGAAGGTGATGTGAGCTCTGAGTGAGGTTCTATTCAAGTCAGTCAGTCACAACATAAAACCTGGTACGTAGGTACATCTGCTCAAGTGGCCATACCTCGTTAGCACAGAGAGATGAAATCATCAGGTCAAATTCCAGAAAAGTAGAAGTAGTAATGGTATTAGAGATAATATGAAAGATTAGGCATCGAAGATACGGCTCGAAAAAAAATAAATTAGTGAAATAAGCCATGTCGCTTGAAATATTATCTGTAATGGCTGACAATATAAATTAGTAGTTGTCTTGTAGTTTGTCTCATGTTTTGAAAAAGTGATACACAAATGTTTTACTGTATCTTATAATAAATAGTGATTGTATAATTCCTCCTACAGCTTCATAAAGTATTATCATTTGTCAGTCAGCGGCAACGTAGAACTTCGTACGTACGTACGTACATCAGTTCGAGTTACTATACCACATTAGCACACAGATACAATTTTCGATTCAAATCCCGTAGAGGTAGAAATAATAAAAGTATAAGCAGTAATTAGAAACACTAGAGTTTGAAGATGTTATTCAAGCAGTATAGTTCACTGAAATACATTTGGAAAGCGAAAAAAGGACATGAAGAATTCAGAAGATTAGAATTTGAGAGAACACAAAGAGTGGATGCACCTGCGCCAATGCAAACGATTTTGAGCCATTTCATTCAAGGTCTCTAACCATCGGTTGTTATCGTCTCGCGGACTCCATCCAGGTTATCTACACCTACCGACATAGGTCAGTCAACTCGTCAGTGGCTTCATGGATTTGTGACGTTTTTGGCCTTATGAGAAAACTTTTCGGTGGCATCTTGTACTAAACATACTGTATTATAAATCGGTAAGTATAAAAAATTAGGAACGAAGATTTAATTCAACGTTAGTTCAACTGTACTTATATATTTGCGAACAATATTGTAGTTTCAGAAACTTATAAAAACTAGTAACGCAATATGTGTTCAACTAATGGAGTTAGGTGAGTACATAATGAAATCGAGTTCTAGAATCCACTTCGATAAAACAATATACTGCGTGATAAGAAAGTGTTTTAAGTAGATTTTGACCGTTGTGAAGTTATCATTAGTAATTACTAGCACGTCCCAACAAAGTTTCCTACAACTGCTAGCTTTGGACAACTTGATCTAGTTTACTCTTATACTATTATTTTGAGACAGTTTCTTTGATAAACCGTTCGAGTTACTTAGTGATAGAAGTTAAGAATGCACTTTTCGCTTTAGATCAAACCCAAATGATATACGGAAGGTATACTAAGATTTAGATCATATTTTTAGGATCGAAAGTGGTAAAATATTTTCATGAGGCTTGTAGAACTACGTTAATGTTTCTTAATACAGTTTTCTGTTAATTTTGCTATTGAGTAATGAAAAAAGAAACTCAACTTCAGAGAATTCCATCTGTCATGTTACTAGATACAGCTACGGATACTATACGACTGCTAATACTTAAACAAATAGAGAACTAGAACAGATTGACTCTTTGACCAAAAACACCTAACTTAAACCAATGACAAGTTTTTTGCCGGAAAGTACTAGTTACAACGAAATTTTATTTTTAAATGAAGCTATTAGTGAAAGATTAATGACGTTACTTTAGAAGACAACTACTATTATACGATTACTTTATACTCCATTATGTAAACGGAAAATCAGATTAATTGATCAATCAACTTACATGTACCGTAAATTCATTAGGATATACACTACCATTGCCAATCGATATTAAACTGTTAGGAATATCAAATCTACGAGATATTTTTATGTCCATAGGTTGTGATGAATTAATTGAAACAGGCTTTAATAGTTCAATGGAAGATTGCTTCACATCTGATAACACATAAAGGCTTGTATTACTTCCTCGAGTAGTAACTGACCATCGTGGACTATTATAAGTAAAATTATCACCTTGTACTCCATCAAGATTAAAATTAAAAGGTATTTTGCTATGTGATTCAGGATTGACACTATGATTATGATTGCTATCATCACAATCATTGAACTCGAACTGTCTTGGTGAAATAGACAGTGGTGAACATTTTCCATAAAACTGACAATTTTGAATAGGCTGATTGAATTGTGAATAGTATAATCGACCTGAAGATAGGAGATTATTACTACAGCTATTCATATTATCTAAATTATTATTATGATTAGTAAAAGAGAAATCGTTCTGTTCCAATTGTTCATCAGAAGCAAAAACATCAATATTTTCATCTGGAGAAAGTACACATTCTTGTTGTTGAAATTGATTAACATACGTACATGAACTCACTGTTAACTGTGCAGGACCTGATTCAGGAGATATACATTTATCTGAATGTTTGGGAAAAGGATAACTACCATTAATAAGCGATGATAAAGATCGTATATGTGATTTCGATAAACCAGAACAAATACCTGTATCATCAGATAGAGAAGAAAGACGAAGTATTGCTGGTCCAGGACTATTTTTTTCATTGCATACATTATCTTCAAAAAAACATTGACTTGATGATTTCATTATTGTGGGAGAAACACGATTCGACAAAGAAAATTCTCTAGATTGTTGTTTATTAGATCTCGAATCCATGTAATTATTAATATCATCAAGAGAACGCCGATGTGAGTTTCGATTAGAAGCATATCCTTTGATAAACAAATTTCCATCTGAATTCACTTCCTCAGAAGTATCAATTTTTAAATTTGGTACCGTTATCTTTATTGAATCAGAAGGGTGGTCATCACCTAACAGGTTAGTTGTAGGTTGAGACCATTTTTCGTAGTTGATATTTGAAGTGGAATTAGTCTTGTTAGGTGCTGGATCGATGGATGAAAGAGATTTATGTTTGGTAGATGAAATAGCTGAATTTGTAACTGAATGAGCATTATTTGGTGTTGCTTCAATTACATCTTCAGGAATATCTAGGGTAGGATTTACTTTACTTGTAGACAAAGCAATACCATAAAAAGCACTCCAAAGACTTAATGAACGAACTTGACAATCCGGTTGTAGAAGATGCTGTAATGAAATGACAAACAATGAAATCAAATCATTACAATTTACGACATAACTAACTATTAAAAATCACATTGGAAAATGTGTAAAAGAAATTGAATTTTCATAAATGCGAGGAGTCAATGTTCGTTAAACCCTTAAATTCCAGAATAAATCAAGATTTGATGGATAAATAATGAAAAAACTGCGCCGATGCCCTGTTTAAACAATTTACAACATGAACACAATTATTCAAGTCCAATCCCAAAAAAGCTTAAATGTTTTAACGTGGTTAGCCGTTGGAGGTTTTCGCATCATCATCACCATATGTTTATGCGCTATATAATTTAGTAGTTAGGTTCTACTCATTACCGTCAAGTATTGAGTATGTTTCTCAAATAAATGAAAGACCAAAAACGATAGTTTGACTTGTAAACTGGATCAGCAGAGAAAATGTTCTCACCTAAATGAGTTTGAAACGCATATTCCAAATCAATGACGCGAAGTGGTAAAACAATTTTGATGGAGTAGTGACACGTGAACTTAGACTAACTTAAGACTAATGTTTCAGTTACTCCATTGCATTGTATGTTAGATATGCAAGTCAAGAGCTTGAAAGCGATAGACTATTTTGGTTAAAATCTCAAGAAAAAATAGTAACCTTTTCGTGATTTGGGAGTATGTAGGAAACTCCGTAAAGCAGTTTACGGAAGATTTAAGTTGAATAAGCGTTTGACTTGACCGGTTGTTTATTGGTAACCTATTCCAGAGACTTGCGTAGCGTGTGATGAAGTCAACTTTAACTTGCTTGATATTCTCGATATGTTCAATACAAATTCCTGGTTCCGAAGGTTATAATTACTAGTTTTAGCAAATTTTAACGTGTCACAAATTACCGTAACTCTAAAAATTCGCTTATGGTTTACAAACCAAGTCTGAAAAATTTATATTCTTTTAAGTTGTCGATTTCAACATATTTCGTGGGAAAATGAATGTTTTATTAGTTTCCTAGTAACGTATGTTGTTACCTATAACTTTATACTAGTAATGAGAAAAACTGGCTCTCGTGTATGTTCCATAAGTACTTTACGTGCACTCATGTAAAAACCCTTTTGTATCGACGTCAGTATTGTAAAAACCACTAGGAATAACTCTAAACTACTCAACTAAATCTGTGCTGTTGCCGACATTTAGACATTATCACAATATTGCTTGAATCAGTTAGGTTTAATGTCAGATAAGTTACGTAATTCAATCAAAGGTAACTGTAATAATTTGAATATTCCAGAATTAGAAAATCAGTAAAGGATTTAATGACATACGTTCTCATTAGCATGGAACATACCTAGTGGTCCCATGATTCGTTGTACGAGTGCAGTATCAGATAATCAACAGATATACAACGCATTACTATCATAGGTCTTGAAGTTTGTTTTAGCCGTAAAGGCAAGTGGTTGGAAGTTATAGAATACATGTGATAGAACGAAAACAGTGAAAATGTGAACCAACTATCATCTTTGTGGTATATCTACCTTGCATTTACATAACAACACAAGAAATTGAAATGTATGAACACAAATCTTTTGTTCATATATGAAAGTGACGATAAATTTTCGGTATTGATTGTTTTATAAATAAAAGTTATAATTCTAAGTGGTAACTGGTTAGCTTCACCATAAATAGATCACACGATTATAGTCACGATCTTTTTTTCATGTGATATATTGAATAGTTAGAAGACGATGTGAACAAGGTTAATCACTAGATAGCAACAACCGGTTATTGATTTGTAATAATCAGTTAGGAAAATAATTATATTTTAAAATATTCATGTTTAACGGATTATAGCTTACATCTAATGGTTAAACAAATAAGAGATTACAAGAAAATAAGTCCAAACGTACAAAACAGGAACTATGTAAGTCAGTGAATTACTTTCGAGTTCATGAATTAGACTACTTAAGTTATAAATAGGACATAAAGATGAATCAATAAAACTATCATCTATAAAGTCATCGGAGGAAGTTATAGCATTATAATTAAATCGAGAAGTAGGATTCACAGAACGTAATATTCGCAGTCCCTAATAATCATGAAAGACTATTAAGTTAGATGTTTGCATAGTATTCAAGAGAATCAGTAAATTGAAATAAAATAAGAAAGATTGGTTCAGAGAAGAGCTCTCTTTTCGGTAAATACACAATTATGAATAAGAAAGAAAAATTACCAGATATTAAGACAATGGTAGATGAAGAGGTTGTACAAGTTTCATTTGGACATATAATTCTATTTTATCCAATTGTATAGCAAGAGCTTCGGTAATGTTAAGGAGATGGATTATAACTGCCTTTGGCAGCCTTCTACTTACCTCTTAGATGATTTTGAACGCAGAAGCCGCATTAGTTGAGTGACCTGTGTTCACATGATTTTCGATTATCGAACTTCTTATTTCGTCATTTCCGCCTGTTTTCAGTCAAACCAGATAGTGTTCTCGAATTCTTTTCGAGAAAATTCGCATCGAACGACCTATATACCTAACTCCACATGAACAGGAAAATTGGTAAACAAAGAGTTGGTCAAATGAGATAATTTATCATTAAGACTATTGGTGAACATTGATCGGCTGGAGAACACAATTCGCAAAATTGCTATGAAGAATGATCCTTTGAGAGTCGAGAATTTCCCTCTTCCGAACGTCTGTAACTATATCACCTTGCTCATAAAAAGTCTTTCCTTTTCTATATAGCTTATTTGCGCTTTAGGCGGTTTCAGTTTTATATGCTTATCAATAAATATAGATGGATACTCTTTTGGATAAGTATTTTCTCAAGAAGGCTCAGTTCACTATTTGTGACCCCAAGACTACAAATTTTCCGTATTCGGTTTAGTTTAATCGGGGACCCAGCTGTGAACATCGAGTTCAAATGTGATGTAGTTACTGACGTTCGGAAGAGGGAAATTCCCAACTCTCAAAGGATCATTCTTCATAGCAATTTTGCGAATTGTGTTCTCCAGCCGATCAATGTTCACCAATAGTCTTAATGATAAATTATCTCATTTGACCAACTCTTTGTTTACCAATTTTCCTGTTCATGTGGAGTTAGGTATATAGGTCGTTCGATGCGAATTTTCTCGAAAAGAATTCGAGAACACTATCTGGTTTGACTGAAAACAGGCGGAAATGACGAAATAAGAAGTTCGATAATCGAAAATCATGTGAACACAGGTCACTCAACTAAAGCGGCTTCTGCAACTAGGAAGGATTCTTTCAGTTAAATAAGTTCCTTTCATTTATATGAAGGTAAAAGAAAATTATAGTAGGACCACCATGTCCGATACTTTCTCAAGTCACTGTATTGAACTAGCTCTAGGACCCCAACTAAATATTCGTGAAGAACTAACATGCCAGTCCTGTACAACTTTCTTTCATACTAAACACTGTACCATAAACTGATCACCTCTTCGTTCTCTCCAACCAGTATCAGCGTCGATAAACAATTTATAGTGTGGAATCAGCCGGGACGACATTCGTAGTACATCCCTAAGCCATTGAATTCAGTGTTTCAAGATGGTGACACATTGGATTACCGCTACTGTTACAGGACACCCGCTACCGAACATTTGCATTACTAACATGGTATTGGCACGGAATGTCATCAATTCTTCGGAAGTAACGATAGTCGAACATATGGATTTGGTTAGTATCCTCAACTAGGAGAGACCGGGTTTCACAAACACAGAGCAAAACTGTTCTCAATGGCACGTTGTAAATACTGATTCCTTAACATCGGTAGCAAAGTAGTTGTGAAAGGTGAATATTAACAAGAGGGTACAATAAAGGCAAAAAGGAGCACATAAAGAGGTAGTTACTGAAATGACGAAAACATTTGTATGTGATTGGATGTAGCACTTTTCATAATATAATAGTTAACGAATTTTTGACGTATGTAAAAGTGGAGACGGCTTATTGTTGTTGCAAAACTTAACAGCTTGAAGGAAATTTTTTAAGTACTTCCATGTAAGATATATTGAAAGTATTGCCTAATGAAGAACTTTGTTCGTTCCCAAAATAATCATGCACTGGCAACGAAATACTATATGACAAGATAAAATGAATAACAGTATAATTGACTTTTTTTACCACCATTGTAAAGTGAAAGGCAGAATGATTAGGAGTTCAAGCTCACTGGTTCAACCATGTTATTGCTGTCCCATCCCTATCAAGATGGATAACCTCACCTTTAAACAGTGCACAATATCAACACTCTTCTGGCAGCTATTTTCAGATTTACGTCTCTAAACCCAAACCCCCTGAATTGGAAAGACCTCAAGGAACAAGAATCTCAGCTACCATAGATCGAATACGTTCACAACAATCAATATAGGAGCTCATGGTTACGCATAACAGCAAACAGGTCCCAATTGCTTAAAATAACTGTAAAATACGATTCAAACTCCAAAGGAACGAAATCAAATCCACAGTTACCTCCGCTTCTGGCTCATAAAAGTAATTTACGATTGTCCAATTATATTTTGAGGATAATAACCCCCACAATGAGCAAGTTCGACTGGCGACTGAAGCTTTTTGACGTTCTTTTTCAGAATTACAAAGAAATGTACCAAATAAGTTTGAACATATATGTAAGCCAAGTTTTAGCTATATAACAAAAAAAAATCACAAATTCATAATAATTAAAATCCAGTCTTCAAACTGGCATACTTAGGAACACACATATACATATCTAAAATGGGAAACTCTAACTTAACTGAACAGAGTGTATTGACTATCAAAACATTAAGATAATAAAGGGAACTATGTGTATGAAAAAGCATTGATTAACCACTACAGCGATATACAAAGTGATGTGTTTATTTTTCACTTCACAACACAAATTAAAAAGCCCATAAATATGACTCCTTCATAGACCTTTGTTTGAATTCCATTAAATGATGTATAGGTTTCATTCCATCTTAGCTCCCGAAGTTTTGTCAACCCAACAAGTTGACGACGTATATCAGATAGCCATACTCAACGTAGAACCTGGAACAAACATGTTAGCCAAAGTTCTCATAATACAGTATACGATTCGAACGAAGTCATTCATTAAAATAACAAATTCATATGTTCTACGGTTCCTCACACTTTAGTCTATTGATACATTGAAACTCGACAACTATCAAAAATTGAAGAAACCTTGGAGGATAACAGTTAAGTGAATACAACGTAAATGTCCCTAGATGATTTTCGGGAAATAAAAATATAACTATCATGTGATTACAATCCTCGAATAAGCATGCCTATAAATATATACATACCGGTAAGTACTGAGACCTTAATAAGTAGTAAGACATTCATTAGAGGCTGTGAATCTATGGTCAAACGAAGAAATATATCTACTTACGTAATCCAAAACATATTCAGAAAGTACTTTAAAACTGAACAGTGAAAAATCGAATAACTGTTGTGTCAAAACCACAGTTAGTATGATGATAAATGGATTAAAAAAGTAATTCGGAATTTTCCACCAGATGATGTCCACGAAAACTAGTTACATATAAATTGCGTTTAAAAATTTACTGTAGATAGATATTATTTAGCTTGAAAGAATTTATGCGAATACCTACCAGAAATGATTCATTAAATTCAAAACAATGAGGAAACTGGTTGCGAATTTGATGGACGCAATCAAGCCATTGTAAAAATATTGGACTTTGCTCATTTATGTTTAATGAGGGTGAAGCATGTCCACTTCGATCAGAAAACTTGTGACCGAATTGTAGCCATTCACGTTCAACAAGAATATTGAAACCCTATATATAAAAAACACATAGTAATTTTAAAATATTTCGATAACATACACCGTAGTTATGATCTTAAAAGTTTAGCGCTACTCTCACCTGAATTGTTCGATAAAATGGATCTGCTAATAATTGGGCTAAGGAACTTATTTGAGGTGTTCGATCCCAACCATCTGTGCAATGAACCATAACCGGACGAGAATTTTCTTCTAATGCGATAGCAATTTCTGTGGCAGTTTTTAATAGCTGGCCAATATTATTTAACCATGATGATTTTTCTAATGAAGAAAACCAACTACAATTGAAAACAATAAAATTATTCGGTTCATATATCGAAAACAATTAAGGTGTTCTAATGTGTTTCAAACCCGAAATTCTAATATTTAAACAACAAAATTATGACGTAAAACAAATAAAACATCTATGATACCACGGAAATTTCACAACATAATGACGATGAATTTGCACAACTATATAAATACAGAAAAATCACCAACGATATTAGATATTCTTTTATCTAGTACTGGATCTTCAAAATTACACGATAATTTTGAACTAGAAGTGAAAAAACTTCCATAATAAAAGCAAGACAAATAATTTACGAATACTGTTTAGTTTATAAGATGAAAATATTTTGATTTATTCCTAACTAGAAAAATATATTGGTGAAACTTTTATCAAAATTCTTTGTAAATATACATCTTTTGACAACAGATAGATCGGATAATAGGTAATAAATGATTTAACATCTCATAGAAAAATGGTTAACATATAGAAATAAATAAGATCTTACGAATATGAGTGATATAAAACAATTTTCATTGTGTAACAATATCAAGTGAATTATTACGGAAATGCAAGAAGGGATGGGTAGTTCATTAATTCTACTTTAGGGCGTTTTAAAAAATCCACATTTGTTGACCATTCTAGAATTGAATAAAACAGATTTTTTGGTCTGGCAATAACGCTACCGTTGAACCAGTATGAATAATGTTTGTAACAGAAATGTTCCAAGGAACTTTTTCCAATAAAATTACTCTGAGAAGTTGGTTATGAAACAGATTTTGACAAACTAATGTAATTTTCAACCAAATAGAATAAAACAGTTAATTGCAAATAATTAAAGCTTAACTTAAAAAGTGATTGTAACAAACTATCTTACTTAGGACATTTGCCAGCGAACAGATTAGTTAGGGATTCAAAATTTGAACGAACAGTATGTAGATTAGGTAAATCCATAAAAACAACTTCTGCTTGATCATAGTATTCTGGATATTCAAAACCACCACCACGTATTCGATTGAATTGTGCACTGCTACGACTTCTAGCATCCACAATCATCAAACGATGAGTATCTAATAACGATAAATAATAGTATTATTACTTTGTTTCGTGTTAAGACAACAGTAATATGTATCAGTTATATTTATAATTGAAAGAATAGGTTACAACTCCTTATCATATGCATACACACGTTTTAAGTGGTGGACATGAAGTGTACTTAAAACTAAAAGTCATTTTTGATCATCTGGAGAACCCTAAACAATAAAATACCCTAAAGAGTATTTGAGAATCAAACGAGTATTTTATATTTAGTCCAGTAGACTATAAATCAAATTAAGAAAAAAAAGCTCTTGCAAATTTAATGCTTAACTACAAGCTGGATACTCCCTAGACATACAGATGTTTTATCTGTGAGATATACGGTATTTGAAACAAAAGTACAAAAATTCTAAAAATCTAATAAGTTATAGGAATATGGTTTAAAACAAAGGTATAATATGCCTTTTATTTAGTTAAATAGATAAAGACTACATTATGTAAGAATTCGTTAACAGATGTAACGGTGGTTTAATTGAAGACATCACTAAATATTTTCTATTACACCTGGATAAGAACTATGAAACAGCGACTTTTACTGACTGAAGATTTACACGATAAATTTTATTTATTTATTATTTATTTCAACACATAGATATTGATACAAAGAGGCACCAAATACATATGCGCCACACAAATCTCATTTGATATGTGTGAGGGTTGTGATACTGCCCGGGTGCCCAAAGCCCGGAGCCTTCGACCTGAAGGTCTGACCCACAAGGCAGTGGAGCATCGTAGGGAGATGCAGTCCCATGGAAGCCGGTGACCAACAATTGGTTCATACGCCATTTGTTCCCGCAGGATACTGAAGCCCATATTCACCATTGGTTTGGAATTCGGTTAAAGCGCAGGACATTTGCTTTTCGTCCTCTCATTTTCGTAAACAACACCCCCGCCACGAGAATGCAGTGAGTAGGACTTTCCTGGCAGAGGCTATATACGCGTGGCCATGTGAGAGCATTTCGAGAGGGAGAGCGGACTCTCCCCACTCTCGGCCGTACCAGGGCATTTGGGGGCCTACACGATAAAAGGTCCCGACGAATGACATCTATGATAACAAAACAATAATGTAACGAGTATTACACCATACAGACAAACACTACAATCATACCTTTGTTAGGATCTGAAACAGGTTTCTTTGGACAACAAGCAAGAACAGTTCGTAGGAATTTCTCGTCATACTCATTTCTGGAACACATTAATCCTACACAAGGTTGAGCGCAACGAAGTAAGACAGCTCCAGTTACCTGAGAACTATAAAGAACGCATTAAAATACTTTAAGGAAATTACCGCCAGACAACTGTTAAAAATCGATTGTGACTTCGGAAACTAGCCATATTAATTATATCATTATCACTAATAGATCGAGGTACAATATGATGTCTCGGGTATGTGGAGCAAATTCTATAAAAGATTAGATTTTTTAAAAATGGGAATTATATTTTACTTGAATTCGTTGTTAATATCTGTTATCTTCCATGTTTTATCAAAGTTCATGCGACGAAATTCAAAACATACTAACGCTGTATCCAAAGTTCTGTCTACATCTATATAATCGAAAGTTATATGTTACAGAGCTCTGAAAAACACTTACCATTAATCTGTAACAATTCACAGGCACCTAAAGTTGAACAAAGTAATAAATAGTCCTATCAAACAAGGAAATTGCAAAACTTACTTAAGAGAAAAGGATGGTTCGGAATGTTCGCTTCTAAAGATGAACGGAATTTACAAGCAAACAGAGAGTCTATATCTTTTGGTGTATCTATTAATGACGTAATATGAGCATATCCAGCATCACAAGCAATTTCATCGACAAACGACCAGCTAGATGTATGAGAATTATCAAGAAAAAACAAATACTTACGTAACAGATATACCAATTTTGGTTATGATTTTGATGTGAATCATTTCAAATGCTTCAGCTTTCCATACTAAAGTAGTGGGTATACTCCATGAGCTTTGTGGTCTTTTCGTTGAAAATATAAGTCGATAGTTTGTAAGAGTCAAGATTCCGTCAGCTATCGACTTAGTGTTTACGGGTTCCTCTCCAGGAAGAAAGTGCATTGAAATCACATTCATTTTGACATTATTTCAACAAACGAAAGTGAGAACTAAAGACATTAATACATGAGCGATTCTAAAAGACAATATTGTGCCAAGAAATGAACTGTTATATATACTTTAACTTTAAAAGAAAAAAACTTTCAAAAAGCAAAGAAACTTGTTGTGTCAACTTAGCCTGATGCACATATGTTCCAGGCTCGGTGTTAATTATGACGGACAGATATAGATCCATAGAACATTACATCTGACATTCTTCACTAAATGTAAGAATTTTAGATGAGCAAACCAACCGAAATCGTCACATACGATCAAATTTATTTACTAGAAACCAGTCAGCTACTAAGACATTAAAAGGTTATCTATAACTAAAGTCGTCAAATTCAGGTAAACTTACAACAATAAATAAACTCTACAACAGCTTTTAAATATCCGCTAACAAACTCGTTCTCGACCCGAACTATAGTGACTCTTCAACTAAGGGGTAAATTACCTGATTCTGTCACATATATGTGTATCTGCAAATTATATTGGGCACACAACCAGACAACTGAGCCGACGAGTTAATGAATGTCTACGAAAAAAATCATAAGACTGACTAGATTCCTGATTTGCCTCTCCACTATGCAAAATCTCATATTGTTAGCGGGACATAGACTGGATTAAAGCATGCTCAGTGCACATAGTGATGGCCATTTCGAAGGAAACGACTACCAAATAGATCCCTTGTTACAGCTGGAATTAGCTAAACTACGATTAGCTCAGACAGAAAGAGAAATTGAGCTAGAGAGGTTACGTCAAAAGGGAAGAGAATATTATCGTCAAGCTGTGGTTGATAAGGTGATGTCGTACGAGTCTACATCTGCCTCACGTGTAATTGATGTTCCTCCTGGAATGGAATGGATAACAATGATATCTAAAGCTTTAGACCTACCTAAGAGAGAGATGATAAGGTTTGATGGCTACCCCATGAACTATTGGAGTTTCATTCAAATTTCGAAAACAGACCAATTGTGGTCCGGAAGAACGAGTCAGAACAACTCTGTTGAAAATAGTAACCGAAGAAATCAGCCGGGATGCACGACTTATATAACTACTGGAAGAAGCCGATTATATGAACGCGACAGTAGTGAAGCCTGGACGTGGTGTCCGATTGGTGGGAATGTTATTTATGTCCATAACCAATCAAATCATTGCTTAAGCGCCCACTATGTCAATCTGGTCTGAAGTGTCTGTAAACTATCCCTGTCGCATGTAACCTGCTAATTGAAGGACATTATTATCCTGTGATGACTCATAATTCTTATTCATATCGATAAGACACACAATACTGGTCGGTATGTTCGTGAGTTCTACTTAATAAATATAATTCCTTTAATTATTGTACTAATCAAATTGTTATTTTTACGCTTAGAAACAGATAGTTTAAAGCCGAGTTGTCCTTTTTTGACTATGGCTTTCACATAGACTCTATGGTCGCCGGTATCGCGTTTACAATCTAGTAGTATATCTGTAGTACAAATTAAATCCTACAGCGGACACCTCCCTAAGTGGCTAGGAAAGGGTACCGTCAAAACAATACGCAGGTCTGTCCCATCACACTTGATCGATAGCGGTTATGTAGTAAATAGAAATAGGTCATTTGCAGTGACTTATTGTATACCTGCTAGTTTTCCTTATGGGGTTCGATCTCGCTCTTACACGGCAAACGTTATAGGAATTTGAGTCTTTGTATTCACACGAAATTTGTAACACCTTTGTCTTTTCCTTGGACAAATTAGCCTGAACAAAAAAATTTATTTATTATTTTTCATACCATTTTTTGAAATATACGCCAGATTGACCGATTATCTGAACACTTCTTATTCAGCAATCTTATAATTTATATGAATGTTATTTCAGCATCTGTATTTCTCAAGTCATTAACCTATTTCACATTATGGAACATCGATCCAACCCTTTGTTTTTCTAATCACAACTATTACACTTGTTATCACAATATCAATTTGTACTTTTTGCTTATTATTTTTAGTTGTGTAATTTATTCAACTGTTACCACAGACAGCTGCCTTGATTGATCTAATAATTTTGAGTATCTATTCAAAGATAACTATATATTAGAGTAAGACCTGATGAGGATCTAATTGGAAACAAGATTTTTCGCTTATATATGTTGCTCGAATTCGTTACTCCCACAAGTTCGAGATGTAAAATGAGTCAATATAGGAATCAAGTGACAGAAAATTGTCACGATACAAAGACCGCTTGAAGACTACCTGGGATATGTAAAGACGAAGAACGTGTTTTGGAAAGAATTAGTAGAGCACTAAGTCAATAAAGTACTCTCTCCATTCTTGTTCAACTTTGTCGTCGACGTACTTTTAGAGATAACACTTTCCTCATCTAAATTTCCAAGGGTTGAACTTCTACCGGGAGGTTCACTTGCTGACTTAGAATATGCCGATGATATAGTTTTATTTGACGAAGACGCTGATAAAATGCAGTCTTTTGACCACTCTAAGCAACAATGCAAGCACGTTCGGGATGCAATTCTCCCCCTCGAAATGCAAAATGTTGCTTCAGGATTAGGTTGCATCGACACCCGGTTAGCTCAGTCGGTAGAGCATCAGACATTTTTTGAATGATAGGGAGTGAAGTAGTTGAGCGTGTCGACCACTTCACTCGTCTTGGAAGTCTCAGCCCTTGTGGTCTGGTGTGTGACGAAATCTCAGCACGGATACAGAAGGCTCAACTAGCTTTTACCAACTTGCGTCATATATGGCGTAGGTGAGATATCCATCTATCAAACAAAGGATGTGTTTACTGAGCAGCAGTTCGTTCCGTTTTACTTTATGGCAGTGAAACATGGCCGGTAAGAGTAGGGGATATCCGTAGGTTACTGGTATTTGATCATAGGTGTCTTCGAAACATTGCTCGTATATCGTGGGACCATCGAGTGAGTAACGCAATTGTTAGGAAACGGGTACTAGGTAAGGATAGGAAATCAATTGATGACGTAGTGAAACTTCATCAGTTGAGATGGCTGGGACACGTGTTACGTATGCCCAACCACCGACTGCCTCGACGTGCGATGTTCAATAGTATAGGAGTAGGTTGGAAGAAATTTAGGGGGGGCAGACCAAGACATGGCACAAGTTCATGAAGTCACTGACAAGTGGACTGAGTCATGTTGGTAGGTGTATACTACCTGGTTGGCGGCCGCGAGATGATAGCGACCGATGGTTAGAGACACTGAATGACATGGCTCAAAATCGTTTGTAATGGCGCAGGTGCATACACTCTTTGTGTTCTCCCAAATTCTAATCTCCTTATTCCTCCTTGTCCCTTTTTTTTCTCTTCCCAAATTTATTTCACAGTATTATACATCTCCAAACACTAATCTTCCCGATTACTGCTTCTACTCTTATTACCTCTACCACTACGGGATTTGAATCAACCACTGCATCTCTGTGTTAATGTGGCGTGGCAACTCGAACTGACGTACGTACGTACGAAGTTCTACGTTGTTACTGACTGACTGACTGATAATAAAGAAGTCCGTCTTGAAAGAGCATATATGATACTCAAACAATTGCAGATCAGTGAAATCTATCAGTAACTTGAACCCAAAATAGCCTCGTCAATGTGAACATCTATTTACGGCTATCCACAGTCAACCACCTGAAAAAAAGAACCTGGCATCGGTTCAAGTTCTCATACCAAATGAGCATAACAAGATAATTAAGGTGAATACCAGAGTATTAAAAGTGGTAACAGTATCAGTGGTAGTAGAAGAGATTAGGTGTAAGACAATTTCTGGACTTAATTTCTAAGGAAGGAGAAAAAGTTTACCTGCTCTATGGTGGACGGTTCTAAGCCACATCACTCAGCCTCTAACTATTAGTTACGATAATCATGCAGAACCCAGCCAGGTATCGTGCACCTACCTATACGGCTCAATCCAGCAGTTAGTAACCTCATGAACTGATGCTACATTTTGGTTTTGCCGCTTCTAACTTTCTTCCAGCTTACTCCCACATTAATTATCATCACGTGTCAAAGTAGGTGGTAGTTGAACATACGTAACACAACCATCCCAGCCAGTAAAGATTCATCACCTTATCAATCGATTAGGCATCCTTATCTAGTACTATGATGAACGAAGACAACGATAGGGTAGACCAATTTTTCGAATGAAGCGAAATCACACACTGTATATGTAAAATACGAAAACAACACATTGAATACACCATTTACACATTTTCCTTAAATTGTCACTTGAAAGCTCTGTCGTTCTTTCATTCCTGTTGCTACTCGGACTGTTTTTTTTACTTTTCGGCTTCATCCTCAAATGTCACCATAGCCAACGATTCTAGTGCTCACAACACTGTCCCAGGTCTACTGAAACCTCGCTCCAAACTACACATTGGAGCCTTCAACGTACGCACCTCATGTCAAATCAGTCAACAGGCTTCCTTGGCTAGAACCTTAGAATCTCGTACCATTGATGTATGCTGTGTCTCCGAAACACGCATACAGGATCCCAGTGTGGTCATTCACTTGACCTCACCTCGGCGAAACGGAGAGCCAACGAGATACACCCTCCATTTATCTGGTGACCCGATGGCCAGCTTTCATGGACTGGCAGGAGTAGGGATAGCACTAAGCATGAGGGCTGAACAAGCACTGTTAGAGTGGATCTCCGTCAACAGTCGTCTATGTGCTGTCCGGCTAAACGGCTACGTAAGAACTCGGAAGGATAGGGACACACGTCGATGTCTTTTTGTCGTTTCTGCCTACGCTCCCACCGACTGCAGCTCAGATGAAATGAAAGATGAATTTTACAGAAAGCTATCTGAACTTCTTCAGAAAGCTAAACGTTCAAACATAGTACTCGTAGCAGGTGACTTTAATGCCCAGATAGGTAGTTTAAACCAAACAGAAAGGCATTTAGGTGGGTATTTTAGTATACCGGCACAACGAACAGATAATGGTGATTGTCTGCTGCAACTATGCTCAGACAATCGTTTATTTTTAGCAAACACATTTTAAGCACAAGGAAAGATCGTCTAACAT